CATTTCATATATCGAAATTACCCATAACTCCTGGAGCAAATTACATAACACAGAACAACTTGTGAATATAACTGACCGTATATTCCTTCATAAGTTTCTCATGGTCTTCATTCAGGTAGACACACAAGGACTTCAGGATGCATGCTCGTCTTGTATGTATTGTGTCATCCTAAGAAAAAAGGGAATCCATAATGACAATATTTAACTTTTAGGCAGCAGTTTGAAAAAGGAATACTTAGTTTGGAAGAGTCCAAAAGGCCACATGGTAAATAGACTGGTTCTTATATAGCGTTTTTCTACTCAGAGCACTCAAAGCTGCCTTTATACAACAATTCATTCACCCAATCACTTTTTCTAAACTGTTTAAATGGCCTGTATTTATATAGCACTTTACTAGTCCCTAAGGACCCCAAAGCGCTTTACATATCCAGTCATCCACCCATTCACACACACATTCACACACTGGTGATGGTAAGCTACATTGTAGCCACAGCCACCCTGGGGCGCACTGACAGAGGTCGAGGCTGTCGAACACTGGCGCCACCGGGTTTAGTGCTTACTGTCTAACATTCATACACATTCACACTCCGATGAATGCATCGGTGAGCAACTTGGGGTTAGTATCTTACCCAAGGATATTTGGCATGCACACTGGAGGAGCTTGGGACCAACCCGCCAAGCTTCTGATTAGTAGCTGACCTGCTCTACCACCTGAGCTACAGCCACCTCAAAACATCTGTCTAAACCAAATCAGACACAAAATGAGGCAACACTAATGTTTTTTTTGGGGGGGTTTTTTCCCCATTTTGATCAAAATTAACCATACGATTTTATCAATTACTTATTATTATAAGACTGATGCTTATATAATTTGTATAAAATATGAAAACCTCTTAGGACTTTTGCCTACCATATGTATAGATATCTTTGCTCATAAAATTGCCAGATTATGGGCATAAAAAGTTCTTAAGCACAGATCTAACCCACCTTGGAGATGGCCACCATGATGTGTCTCATTTTTCTGCCAGCCACCCCACCTTTGCCTCGAAAGAGCTCCATCATGCGTGGAGTGTACAAGTCTAGCTCATAAAAGAATCTAGATAGCAGCGGTACTGTCGATATGCGCAGGAATTCCTTGTCAATCTGAAAAACATGAACAATGCACTTATAATATGCACCAGAGGAAGGACATACCAGGAATTATTAGCTGTTTTATCACTATGTTATGTCAATATTAGTGAAGCAAGAAATAACTGGTCAACCATAAACACACTCTAAAAGTTAGACATATAGGACATGCACCTCTTTCTCGGTGAACAGAGCTGGCCATCTGCTTTTAAAATCTGCAATAAAGGGCTGTCCTTGAATAACTTCTTGCCTTCTGTACGAAAAAGTCTTCTGCATTTTCATTGTCACTATATTGTCATTGTTTCTCTTCTGAACCTCTGAAAGCAGTGCAATTCTCTCTTTTTCCAGGCTGTCAGTGGTTTCTCCTTTTGGATACTGCGGACAGTAATTGACTTCTGCTCTTCTAGGCTTTTTCACATTCAATGCTGCCTTACTTTTGTCTTGGGCCTTGTTCTTTAGTGAATTTACCAACACCTCAGCACAGCCCAGGCCTCTTAGTTTGGTCCGGACATTGGCCATTTTATACTTGAGGCTAATTTTCCAACCATAACAGCCATTAAAGGATCCCTGCTCCCTCAGACAAGGATGCTGTTTGACAAGGGCTTCTGCAACTTCATTCAGGTCATTGTCAGTTGGATAGACTTTAAATTTTATTATTTCTTCAGCCAGCCTTTCTAAAAGGTGGGATTTCAGTTTTGGTGAGGGGGTCAAATGAGTTCCACCAGCAATGAACTCAGCATTGGCCTTTTCAAGTTGCAGTTCAGCCTCATAGCTGAAACGAGGGACTGTGAAGACACTTGGCCACACTGACAGTCTTGTAGACGGTGATGAACCTGACGATGAAACGGGCCTTGTATTGTCTGTGTCTGAAGACCTTGAAAAGGAATGTGTTGGACTTCGCACTGGTTGACATGTCACTCCATCTTCTGTAAAACTTTGCAACTGCACACTATCCAAGTATACAACCTTTAAAGTTGCTTTATCATTAATTTCAGAGATCGCAGTCAGATTTACAAAATCATTTCCGAAATCAGGATCTTGATATTGAAGACAAAAATCCTGTTGCACTCCAAAATTTGTCTTTATTTCCTGACACAATTCCTCAATGGAGTCTGATATCCCAGCTGGTAAAATTAGTTTCCTGGCATCATCTTCTCCGAGAATGATCCTCAGTCTTATGGGCTGGGGCATCATGCTGACCTGGACAAATATCAAATATTTAAAAAATAAATAAAGATGTACTCATTGACTATTGTGCGAGTGTGTGTAACAAATTCTAATGTCAACGATAATTTGATGATGTCACCTTAGCCTCGAGGAATTTTTTTACTGGAGAAGTGAATAGTGCATTTTCCAGATTTGTCTTGCATTCTTCTAATTAATGACAATTCTTGCATAAGATGCTTAAAAGAAATCTACTCTCAATAAATTAAGTAGCAATTGGTCTGCAAAGTATGATGTATTATTTACTGTGCCAGGTGATATAGGGGGAAAATACTTACAAACATCACTCCTGTTTACCCTGCAAGTTAGTGTGTCTCTTCAGAGTAACCAGACGCAGGCCTCCCACTGAATAGGCAGCTAACGGGGTAGTCATCGAGTAATTCCCCATGCTCAATCAGAGACACCTCTCTCGCATGTGACATGTCAAGCTCAAAAGCTCTGAAGTGCTCTCGATACCAAGCAGAGAACTTTTTTACAAAAAAGTATATTCTGCCATGCAAAATAAAAATCTGCAGAATTTCTGCAAACTCTGGCAAACCAAATATTTGCCCATGAACAACTATCATTCCTGTGCTGTAGTTCATGCCATTGTATGACACGCTTTTTGTAATATGGACATCAGTTTCATCTGGTAATCTTTGCTTTATAGCTACTGCGATATCACTTTTCAGAACATCAATTGGTACTGATGAGCCAACATTTACCATTAAAGGTGTCTTATGGTCAGAAGAGTGCAAGTCAGAGGCAATCACGAGCTGATGTTTTTTGGCAAGTGTAACAGGTATGTTCTTAAAACAGTTTGTATGGCGAGCAATTTGTTTAAAAAAAAACTATGTTTCGCCTCAAATCTCATTGTCCATTTGTGGACAAGAGGCCCAAAATGCCGAATCAGAGCAGGGTAGTGCTCCAAATAATGATGTTTAGGGAGAAGACTGTTGTTTGGAAAAAGTTCTTGGTATCTCTGGCGATGTTCACTGATTTTACACTCAAGGTAGGAAATCGACTCATCAGACTGGACAGGGGCTACAACAAGCTCCACAATGTCCTTCAGATCCAAAACAATATGCCATGCAGGTTCATCCTCTGGAACAAGTGGACCAATAATTAGAGGCAACAAACGAAGTAGAGACCAATTTTCATGTGCATTTCCACCAATATTTTTTTTAATGAGAAAGTCTGGGGAATTGCATGAGGCCGGTTGGTTTTATCTGCCCATTTATACTCAACATTTTGGATCAAGTTGTTAAGTTTTTCTAAGGTGAAATACTTTTTAGAGATTAAAAAAGAAAAACAATGCGCAAGCTCCACTGGTATTATGCCCTCTAGCAGATCATGTGCTACATCTGGAGGGTAGCCTGCAGTGACATGAAAATGGCTCAGATTCTTACTCAAAATACAATCTCGCTTAACTCCACAACAAGCACTTGCTGTTTCTTGTGCACGCTTCAAATGGAATTCATGAAGTTCCGGTGTTCTATGCTCAAAATCACCAGCAGTCACTGACTTTATTTCAGATTTTTTAGCTGTACAGAATCTGCATATGTATTCAGCAGAAAAACTTTCCACAAAACCTGCCAGCCCATGGGCTCCTAGGTTGTCAGCTATGACGCAGCTCACAGTTCCTTTAATACACTCGTTCAACTGACTGATGAACACACCATGTTGCTCCAAAGTTACCAGATCTCTCAAAAGTGGATCAAAGACTTTTTCAAACCCAAATGTCCTCAAATCTTCACTCTTGCAAAGGATTGCCAAATAAATGGATGAAAGGGCTGAATGAGAACCAGGTGGTAAATTGCCCAAGACCCAATATACACCACAAAGCTTGTGCTTTTTCCGTGAGGTCCCAAGAGGATTACAAACCTCAAAATCATCAATATAAAGGTTAATAGAAATTCTCAACTTCTCACCATCTAGAAAGCTATTTCTTTTATAATGCTCCCCATCTCGAAAAGATCTGTAAACCCTCTGATCACCATTCAGATTCTCTCTATTTTCTTGAGCTATTTGTTCTTCAATCACTCTATCCAGCAATTTATTGTGACTCAATATTTCCTGCAATAACTGTAATAAAGGGATGTACTGAAATGACTTCCTTTGGTCTATCGATAAAAAATACTCAACAGGCTCTACAACCCTAAAATTTTGTATGTAGTATAGTTTTCTTTTATAAGGAGTGGCAAGAGGGCCACACTTTCCCAATATTTTAGCCACAGGGTTAGAAACACATACAGAATTTGCAAGCTCTTCAATAACAGCCTGACTAATATGGAGGTTATGGCTCTTAAAAATTTCTGTAATTGTACGTTTTGTCAGAGGTACACTAGCTGAACTCAACAGAAAAACTAACTCCTCTAAGAACTCATCTAATCCTTTTGCTGGAACATGAAATATGTGTTCCAATTTCAACAATATTACTGCTAATTTCCGTTCAGTTAGTTCGGGCTGATTTTCAACAGCACTATTATCACATTCTGTCACTGACTCACTTTCAAATTCACCATAGGATACATCTTCAGAACAGCTAGCCCTTACATTATCAGAGGACTCTATCACTTGAACTGGGTCCACACGTGTAACTACACTGGCTTTAAAATCTTTAAGTGTGTGTGGATGATGCTTCCTCTTTTTGTGTGTATAAAATGTATTGTAAATATTTGTCTTGAAAGGGCAACCAAGAAACACACAACTAACTGTCTCGTTACTTCGCAGATGTGTTCCAATATGGACAAAAAAATCTCTCTCAGAGAAGACGTCACTGCAGTCACATAACTCACATTTAAAAGTTACTGAACTTGAAGCTGTCTGTGTAAACTGAGATGAATGAGCTTTATAGACATGAGTGTTCAGTCCACTCCAAGTCTTAAATGTGCACGGACAATTAACATATATGCACAGATAATGTTGACCTATTCCGTAATGATGATGTAGTTTATAATGTTGAAGTAATTTGTACCTGCTGCTCTCTCTGGTAACACAATGCTTGCACTGCCACATACACGTCACTGATAAAAAAATGAAATATGCATTAGAAAACGTCAAGGAGATTAAACTTCTGCATCATCCAAAAAAAATAAATAAATAACATAATAATAATAATAATAAGGCAAACATGAACTTACCATGTATTGTTGAGGAGGTGCATAAGAATCTCAGAGCATGGGAATGTGGCTTTATTTTGTGATGTATTTCTGGGGAGAGAAATTAATTAAAACAAAGTTATTACTCTGACAAATTTGTGTTAATATCTACATACTGTGAAATGTGAAGACTGTTACGGTGCGTACACACCGAACGCGATAGACGCGACCAGAGCTTCAGGTTTACATGTAAAGTCAATGGAGGAGCACGATGAAGCGCGACTGGGGGTCCAGCTAAACTTCGGAAGCAGATTTGCATTGAGAAAACGCTTTTCTGCCTACTTCACACGACTGACGCCTTTGAAGCGCGAAGTAAAATACGCACTGCAGTTTGTGTGGTGCATTTTGTGCATTCGCGCTTATCACGTCTACCGCTCGAGTTGGTAAAATCTGCGGGACAGCAGCTTCTCAAACTCGGCAAGGGACAGAAGGTGGTACAGCTGAAAGCGGCCGTCATCCAGACGGAGCTTCTGGAGCAAGTGGTGAAACTCACCAAACTGCTCACGCTTGTGGAAGACCTGATGGACCCAGGTACAGTGAGGACATCCTTTAGGCACTGCTCTGCTCTCCACAGCAAATAGAGAAGGGAGACTCTTTCTTCAAACGCTAGATTGACAGCTGCCATTTTAATAACATACCGTCTGGCACTACTTCCTCCCAGATCTCTTCTTCATACGAGTGAAAATTGCATATAAACCTCGACCAGTTCATGCTGGACGCGCTTCGAGGTGCAAATGTGCACGAGATCAGCTAGGGGCATCTATCGCGTTCGGTGTGAACGCACCGTTAATCAGCCTAATGCAGAGCACCAGAGAAACTATAACCCAAACAATTATCCACCTAAATCATTCTGAATTCAAAAATTAAGTGAATATATTACAAAAAAAGAAAATGCACATGCAATTATTGTGACAGATTTTATCTTACTCCTTGTTATTAACTCCCCTAAACGCTGGTTTAGTTGAATTAAACCTTTCATCAATCCAGTTAATGCGGTTGCCCGCGACTAAACTCCACTGACAAAAACAGGAATTTTAGATAGAGCATCATAAAACACTCATAAAATCACCAAAACCATGTCGTCAGTCTTACCACTACTACCAACAATCACCAACTCCGGTTAAGCAGAAAGTAACCCTTCATTCATGGAGCTATATGCGAAGACGTTACAGCTCTACGCGGCTTTCCCGCTCTTCAAAGTTAGCTAACTCCAGAGAAGAAAAACAGTCCTACCAACGCAGATAACCATGAAACACACCTCATTCAAAGTCGACAGAAACAAAAACACGAACTTACCAAAATAACCTCATCAGTTTTTGCTCTGTTGCAACAATTAGCGACTCCGGTTAAGTTTTAAAAAAAAACATTAAATTCACCGACTTACATTTGAAAAATGTTTGGGTCTACAACCTCCCTGCTATATATAAATCTCCACACTACACAGGTAAAAAATTTTAACTAATAGTGTTTATCTCTCACTCCACTAACCTAAATAAATATATCAAGAAATATTACTTACCTCACTATCAGGTATGCCAAAGAAGTAACTCCACGTGCGCTCGTTAACTTCTCAACGGACCTTTCCGCATCCGGTGGGCGTGGAGCATGCGCAATACATGACGCTATCAGAGCCTTTGGTTTGATGGACCTCATTCTCATTGGATTGCCATGAACGAATTTAACTCATCAAAGTTTTCTTTGATTTATATTCAACAAAAAAGAATGAATCATTTAATGAGCATAAAAATGATTTCTTCATGTGATGTAAACATATTACTACTTTGTTAATCAAACACATGCCCTAGTTGATTTTTTTGAGTGTAGGATATCTTCTGGGTACCTCCTACGTGGGATGTTCGGGCATGTGCTGCCAGAAGGACACTGCAGGACAGATCCAGGACACACTCAGCTCACTTGGGAATGCCTTGGTATCCTGAAGAAGCTAAAAGGAATGGATGGATGGATGGATGGATGGATGGATGCATGGATGGATGGATGCATGGATGGATGGATGGTTGTTTTCCAAAGTCTGCCATAGAGTTACAGACTTCAGGTTTTTCACCTTCCAACAAGGTGTTTATTTCAGTTAATTGTTTTCATAGTATAAAAGTGAAACCTGAAACCTGCATACTGAAGAAAAGTTGTAGTTACCCTAATCTTCTTGTCATAGTTGTTTTATTGTTGCACTTTGAGACAGACAATTGCCAGCACTCTCCTTGATGGTACATTCAAAGACAAATTGTCAGTCAGAAGCTGCAAATCTTATGATTCAATGCAGAGCTTTCTTGTCAGAAAATCAAAGCCTCAGAAAAAAAGACAAAAAACACGCATGGGCACTGTGAAATGCACAAGGTTGGTTGTTAGTGTGGTTCAAATTTTGGATTTCAAACGTTGGCAGGGATGAAAACTAAATACGATATGAAGTTAATGGCGCTGAAATTCAGCCATAAAGTTTAACCTCCTGGAAATCCCTTTAAACGTTAAACCCTGCAAACACTACAAAGTAAATAAATGTGGTTTATACATGCTGGAGGTCGAATAATGTGCTTTTAGTCCTTGTATCCTTGTAAGCCTAAATATTACAGAGCGTGAATAAAACCTCCTCAGTCCGATAAATCAGTCTGTAATCAAACCTGGAAGTAGGGATGACAGTATTTCAGCAGAGGACACCGCTCTCTGAAGGTGCAAGTTGGGTCTTTAATCCTCCTCATAAAAACATGGCAAACTCCCCGGATTCAACTTAGGTGAATTCCAGAAACATCCCGTTCTAGTACATTCAGTAATCCGTCTACTTATTTCAAGTTAGCATTTAAATCCATGTTCTTCTGTGTGTGTGTGTTTCTGAACTTGTGCACTCGTTCCTCGCGCTCTTCAAGAGTGGGTTTTTTAATTGCACTTTTACAAACCTTTAATTGCCTCTTCCTTGAGAGTGTTCCTCTAGGGGGTTTCTGGGTCAGTCATCGCCCGGCAGACGTCAGGACAGCACAGGTAAAACGGCCACGTTGTGCCGCTGCAAACAGCCCGAGCCCCTAATTTTATGGTTTTACAACTCGTACCATATGTACGAATGGCCATACATTTCTAAACACTTGCAGGCACACACACATTGAAAGAAATGGGTCCCTCCTCAGGGACACATTGCTGATCTGATATGGAAAGTAAAGGCAGAGGGGGAGGAAGAGTAATAGGGAGTAAATGTGCAGTTCAGAATCTAGGACAAGCTGGAACAAGCACTTCTCCTCTCCTCTTTTCTCCCAGTGTGGTCTTGGTTTACTCTGGTGCTGATAAAACTTGACAGTTCATCTCTCTTCTCTACTGAAAGTTTCTTTTTTTCAAATGTTTTCCACCTGTTTGCCTCTCACATCTGTCTATCTTGAAGCAGAGTTGTCTTTTTAGTTTGCAGATGTCATCTCAGCTCCATCTCTGTCTTAACAGTTGACTGTACGGTGCATTCGATTGCACGGCGTTGCGTGTTTGCGCGGCCTCGCAATTTTTTTTCTTTTTTTACAAATCCACCATTGCTCTTTTTCGCAGCATCCATAATCCCACACACACATAACTTCGCCAGTTTGTTTACAGTGCAATTTGCCTTTGAGCTGGGTGTGAGGTTCAGCGAGGGGAGGAGGGAACTCTTTTTTTATGTCCTAGTTTCTTTGCGGTGGGGACTATTGGATGTTGCACTGTGTCCTTCCTAGCTTTGGCTCAGCCTAGCCTGTCAGGAGAGTGAGGATTAATTCTCTACGGCTGTGTGTGGTTCTTGTGATGATCGATAGATCCAGTCGCTACCTATTTGATAAGGAGGGCACCAAGCTGTTTGTTTTGGCGACAGGAGGGCAGCTCCTGTGAAGTAGCGTTAACAATATGCACAGTACATCAGAGCAGCCCCTGGCAAGAAGCTTAAACAAGCAAAGGGAGCAAAGTTCAGTGTGTGTATATATACTGTATTGTGGGTTACACACAATCCAAGGCTGTGTTTGCACATACTTGTATTGTATGTGTGTCTTGACTGCAGCGCTCTTGTAATGTGTGCCTACATATTTGCACATATGAGAAGCATTAATGTGAAGCAGTCCATCTCCCTTGGTGCAGTGGTCCAGTCTACCGGGCTACTGAAGGCTGATAAAGAGTATGGGTCATACTGCCAGGTGGGACTGTCCATGCCACTTCCTGCTCAGAATCGATAAAGAGCTGGGGGCCTTGAGCCCTCGACGGGCCTGTCAGCACTCACACCATCTTGACGCCAGGGTGAGTCAGCCTGTGCACCGCCAAGGTCAGCCGTAGTTATGAAGAGGTTGAGGATTTGCACTAAGTAAATACACTCTCTTCTCCCTGAGAATACAAAGCAGTCGCGCCATGATAACTGTCAGTGAAAAGAGCAATGCTGACAAAACAGCAAGGCCAGGCTGGAGGACGGAGAGATAGCAGCAAGACAAAAGGTAGGAGGAGGTTAATAGCAAAGGAAGTAAGAGAGAAAGAGAAGGTTACAGAAAGGCAGTCTGCAAAATAGATGAGATAATAATAATTAAGAAAAATCAAAAGATTAAGAGGAGAATCAGACACAAAAGGAAGGTTTCACGCTTGAATTGCTAAGATTCGTGATCCAGATGTGCATCTGCGGTCTGTGTGAAAAGCCCTAATACGCTCTCCTCGCGCTCATTTAAATGCAAGAGCAAAACGAGACGGAGCACAGAATGATGCCGGTGCAGGCACTGAATTAAGATTTGCATTATTATCTGAAAAAAAAGTAATATAAAAATCACAGCACAGTTTTCTGAAGGAGTGAATCATCAAAAGAGCGCTCGGTCAGTGACTGTAGTTCCATCGGATGTTTGAGTGATTATCGTTCAGTCGAACAGACGAATTTGCTCTTTTCATTCAAAAATGCCAAAAGCTTTCTCTCTCCACTCATTCTGCTCATTCTCTCAGAGCAAGGAGCTGATTAATGCGCGCGGAAATTACAGTTTAGTAGAAATTAGGGTTTCATATTTCATTAGGAATCATCTATTCGACTCATTCCAGATGAGAGTACACAGAGTAGTCAAGTGATGTTGTTTGATGAGCGAGCGTGTTCGCGTGTTGACGGGGCGCATGCTGCTCTCGCTGAATCCATCTTTAAAGAGAAGATTAAAATCATGGGTTATGTTGTGTAGCTGATTTCTGGTGGCATGTGCGTTTGTAGAGGTTTAAAAGTTTCATTGCTCAGAGTCATGCTAGGAGTTTTGTGTGGCACACACTGACTTTGCACATCCCGATTATAGCAGGTGGAGTGTTTACGGTGGTCATCGTGTTAGTATTGCAAGTTACCATTTTCCAATTAGCTTTAGCAATGAGTGAGGACCCTGACAGCCGTTGGTTTTACAGATATTGGATCATAAACCAGAGGGTTACATACTGATGCAGTTGGTGACAACCTTTTGGCACCTGAGTCTTACTTTCTGATTTATGACTTACCTTTTTCAACCAAAGTCCCAATAAGAAGGCAACTACACACAACTTCCAGCACTTTCTGTGCACCTGTCATAAAAGTAAACAAATAAGAAATACTTTAAAATAAGTCAAAAGTTTCAAACTAATAAATACGTGTCATTTATTAGACAAACAACTAATTGAATTCACATTTTTTTATGCCTAGACGTGAGCCGCCACACTGGACTTCCCTAAGAACTCAGAAATTAATCAAGCATAGCATTCAAACACTAAAACTAATTTTTCTCTTCAGGGATGCAAGGAAATAACTGTGATTTGGCATCTTAATAAAATAAAAAATCATAATGTGCTTTAATGTGTTTCTGTTTCTTTTATAAATTAGTGCATTTGAAAAGTCATGGATAAGAACAAATTTTGGATTTTAGCATTACAAATATTACTTCAGTTTAAGAGCTTGCACATAACGGTGGATTAACCATGATAAAAAAAAAAAACATTTTGGTAATTACCAATACTGTTGATTTAAAGCAACTACAACACCTAATATGTTGTACCTAATTGCATTGTATGTGTAGAGAAATACTGGAGACTGTATGTTAAAGATGAAAAGTGATGCTAATATCAAAGTGCCTTAAATCTGCAATCTTTCTTATGACCGTCTCCTTTGGCTGCACAAACAAGACAAATTGGATCCAAATCTATGGAGAATCACTACTTCTCACTTCATTTATGACCTCAGTAAAACTTTTTAGTTCGTGATTTTAATTGCTAGTTTCCCTATCTGTTAGAGCATGATGTCTATTTGTAAATGATGTCATGTAGAGTAAAACAGACAATAAATCAGAGTAGGACTAACAACTAACTGTTTTACTGCTGCTTTACTTTCAGATACAGCCTTCTGGTCTGGTTTAAAATCACCAAAATCACAGATTTGAGTCTTCCAAACAGGACATCACAGGCTAATTGATGACATCATATAGAGTTGGCATCATAAGAACTATAATTAATAATCATCCTTCAGGTAGAGCTGGGCGATATGAGATTTTTTCATATCACGATATGTTTTTTTCATTTCAGGCGATAACGATATCTATCACGATATAAGCCAAATAACTATATTTGTAAGATTTAAATGTGCCGTTGCTCACAAGTAAAATGTGAAATAATCAGCAGCTTGTTTTTATTTAAATATTTATTTCCCATAATAAGTTCAACAGGGTAGATGTACTTAAGGAACATGAGACTTTTTCAGATAAATAAAGGCAAATATTGCAAACTACACAAAAGGCAGC